TCCATGGTTTGGATAGAATTTATTGTAGGAGGCTGCTTGTTTGTTTACTGGCTGCTCAGCCCTGAAATAATCACACAGAAACCATATTATTTGCAGTACTGTTTGGTCAATAGCTTAAGCATATTTTTGGCTAACTCATATCTTAAATTAACCCATCTCCATTAATCTGTGCATTGCCATGGGGCTGTGGTTTACTGGGAAAAGTTCCAGCATCTGTCTCTGGTAGGGCTTCTTGGCTTCTCTTTGACTCCACCTCCCTTCTCCCAGCATTCAGTTTAGTTTTCCCCGCCTAGCTCTGTTATGCCCTGCTCTGTTTTAGGCTCAACGAAGTTTCTTTATTCATTTACCAATAAAAGCAATACATAGAAAGAAGGACCTCCCACACAGATGTAAGCTATGAAAGCATAAACTGCGCTATTATTTAAGGAAGGCATTGGACACCAGTTCAATCTACTAGATTCAGAAGTGTCTCATTCTCACAGTTTGGCCAATAATGATCATCTGTATTGCACAATGGTGTCAAAGTTCTTTATCCTGGTGTCAAGAAATATTTCCAAACAAGTTTTTCATAGATCACTGATATTATCATACTAAGTGTTTATCTTCTGGAACAATAGGGCCCTTCGGTAACGTATTCAGCCTTGGTGTGACATTTGGAGTCATTGTAACGCAACAGGGAAGGTCAGCAAGCTTGCTTTTCCCAGAGAACTCTCCGTCATTAAAGATTTAACTGTGTTGGTTGTTTACTTCGGGTGGCATGCTGCAGGCTATCATTTTCCACATGTGCACCCTGGCAGCACAGAAGCAGCTGTCCTGCAGGAGAGCATTTCTGAAGCCAGCCCCATGAGAACCTTTTGGACATCTCTAAATTCCTTTACCTGGCCATTACCACAAACCTTACCGAACCTCAACAGCCCTTCACTTGAAGAGATAATGGAAATGTTTTATGTATTTTTTAGATTTGTGCCAGATAGAGTTTGTTTGTTTATTTTTCATTTAGATCCCTTTTTATTCAATAAATGCTTACATGACATCAGACAAATAGGAAGAACAGTGTGGGTCCTGGGGTTGTGAGAAATACAATTAGTCATTTCCTTGGAGGAAGTCATAATCTGCTTGGTGCAGACGCATGAGCAGTATTGACAGTCTTCCATAGACTTGTGTCTGCGGGGTGGCAGAGCACGGTGTGGAGACGTACCACATAGACTCGTGTCTGCGGAGTGGAAGAGCGCTGTGTGGAGACGTACCATATAGACTCGTGTCTGCTGGGTGGAAGAGCGCTGTGTGGAGACGTACCACAGGACTGGAAGACAATGCTCCAGTTTGATGCGCACAGTGCAAAAGCAATGGAATAAGATATTTTAGCTGGCAGAAATAAGTATTTTTTGGGGAAAAAGCAATAAAATGATATCAACATTTATATTAGCATCTAAAACATACATACCTAAGAAGAAAAGAATTAAAGGTATGGAAATGCTATCCTTAAAAAATATATATCAGTAATGAAATTCTTTTTCTTTACATAATTTCTTTAAAATGCAATCGCAAACGAAACAAAGGCAACGAACAACAGTGTTTATAACAAAAGTAACTAAAATATCTTTATCTATTAGAGCAGGAATGAAAGTCACTGCTGTAAAGTTCAAAAGCTGTAAGTGAAGGATAATAATATTGTTTGAAGCTAAATTACTGTAAGTTAAAAATACAAACTGTAAATGCCAGAACAAGCAATAAACACAACTCAATAAGATGTTCACCGTTGAACTGGAAGTATGAGACAGACTTTTCATGGGGAGAAACCACACACACACAAACACACACACACACACACACACACACCACAATCTTACTAACTGCAGAGAGAACCCCATCATTAACCTAAGTAATTCATTTGTTGGGGTCCCGAACAGGAGCATGGGTGAGGGCTTAACTACAGAAGTGGAATGACCCTGAAGCAGCTGTGTCACTGAAAAGCCCACACCAACAGAGAGGAACTCAACGAAGGTGCAAACAGGAAGGTTTCGTCAGGCAGCCCTCCAGGTCCCAGTGCTCTCTGTGGTGAAGCTGGCCCAGTCTCCTCTCGCAATAGTTGCTCACTCTGCTATAAAGCTGGCCACAATCTCACAAGCAGGATTTTCACTTCTTCAGTCACTAACCTTTGTTTATCTTCAGTATCACGAGCCCCCCTCCTTGCCCTTGGAGGGAATGCTTCAATTAGGAGGAACCTCACACAAATGGAGATCCTCCAGACACGGACAACAGGTCAGGAGCGGAAGAAGGGCGAGGGCAAGTGAGAACTGTCTTCCTCCTCTGTACAGGCAAAGTTATAAACAACACACAAGACACTGAGTCTCATACATTAATGCACCAATCTGTAGGATATATTGTCGTGAAAAGAAAGTAGCCTGACGCTTGGCAATGAGCATCTTATTTACATGTCTCCTACATTCAATTATATTTTCTTCTATAATATTTGCAACTTGTAGTATTTAAAATTTGACCCTTTCTGGGGTTTTTAGCCTTCTCTGAACTTTTCTTCTATTTGACATAAGTTGTATATATATATATGTATATATATATGTATATATATGTATGTATGTAGAGAAGTTCTTATGACTTCTAAAGAATCTGAGCTATTACCCTGCTTGCAAGCTTCCAAGCTGGCCTTCCATCATTTCAGGGGTAATGTCAGATGACATGAGATTCATGGATCCAATACAAGCTCCTTGCTACTTACAACAATACCATAATCCAGAGGCTGGATTATCAACATTCAGAATAGCTTCTTGGCCTCTGTTCCCACAGAGTGATGCAAGGCAGGTTGTTTATATTATCACACACACATTAGGCTACATATTTCAGAGGAACATTAAGCTTAGGAGCCTCAAGTCCTTTAGAGCAGATAGGAATAAAGTCTAACTCATATCCAAGGCTGTCTCTCGTTTTTATTATATTACAGACTGGTTGGCTCTACTCTTTGATCTAAGAGGGAGGTGCTGTATATATCATCCAAGCATGCCTGCTGTATAAACTTCCTTGTGCCTCAAACAAAAACAGCCAGGGGTTCTGTTTGCAAAACATGCACAAATGTATCCCATACAGAACTGTCCTCCAATAGGGGTTGATTCCTTCCCACATGAGTGACCATTCATGATTCAACACAGAGTTTCTCATCTCCCCAGATGTCTACAACATGGACCTTAATGTAACCTGGTACCCATGTATGGAACTATCTTTTTCGAGGTTATTCTGTTAGTTGATACTTAACTTGTATAATAATTTTATACTTTCATCTCTGCCACAGTAGTTCTCTGTCTCACACCCAAACATATGCCCAGACTGTTCTCTGTTCATTTCACTCTTCCTCATATGGAAGATAAATGTATCTCAAAGTCCAATACCAAACATGACTCTAGCAGCTCAGACCTCGCTCTGGATTATTCTGCTTCCTCATGACACTGGTTTAAATGTTTTCTAGCAAGGCCTTTCCAGTTTCTGTCAATGTCCTGTCCCACTCAGGTGGACGGAAGCTTGTCTACTGCACTCTGCTATTCTCTAGTCACCAGGAACTGGCCGGCAGTGAGATCCAAGCCGCAGCTTTGACTCATGTGTGTCCCCCTAGATTAGTCTCTGCCCTCACAATGTTTCTTGTTCTCATCGAGAAGCTTAGCTATTTGTGCGTCTTAAAATCTTTTATGTTTCTCATCTAACAGCTTGATTTCAGAGTGGTTTCCAGGAGACCTAATCAATCACATGCCAGAAATAGAAATCTTACTTCCATGCTTGGTTTTAAATACTTTGATCTCACAGAATGTTGCCTTGCATGCAATGATTTTCAAAAATGTGTTTAATTAAATGAGTGAAGCTACCAGATTGTTCTGATGCTATATCATTACCGAGGAATTCAGGTTTTCATTTGGCATTGCCTTAAGATTCTCCTCCTCTTGTAGCCTTTCAAATCCACAGAAAATAGTATAATTAAATATTTTTAATTCCCACTGAGATCAAACAGATATTAATAGAGTGCCTACTTTTCTTTATTCTGTAGTCACATGTACTTAAAATAGTGAGTGCTATTATTTTTCTATACTTTAAATCTTTAATAAGTGACTTTCAAACTTGCTTTCCTCCAAAGCATCATGCTTGAAATTTATCTGTATTTATGCACTAAATTCTAATCTAATGATTTCACATCTTTTATAGAACTATATTACACAGTTTAGTTCACTTCTTAGCATTCTGATAGTTTCCCGCCACTGAGATTACACACCCAGGAATAACAACTTAAAGGAGGTAGCATTTCAGCTCACAGTTTGAGAGGTGTCAGTCTACAAGAGAGGACATGATGGCAGGGACTATGTGGTGGACAGGGAGACAGAAAATGTGAGGAAGTGAAGGACATGGAAGAAGATGCAGCCTTGAAAAACACAACCACAGTGACTTCTCTCCTCAACTAGCCCCCACCTCCTTGAGTGGAGACCCCCTTTAGCAGTCCCTTTAGGGAACTTATCCATTTATTAGGTTTATACCATCATGATCCAGTTACATGAACACTGCTGTGTTAGAGGTCAAGTCTCCAGAATACAAGTCTACGGTGAACATACAGTTAGAAACCATATTAAACTTTGAATTCTACAATAAACTTCCATAGATGTCTTCTTGAGCATATGTTTGATATTCTTTCAACTAGATGCCAAGCATTGAAAGTGTTATATAAATTTTGTATGTAGTCTTAACTTATTAAGGATATCCAATTTATTATATCTAATATATATGATTATGATAACATTGATCATTATACATTATAAAATATTTTACCATATTGCAGCATATATTTGTAATTTGTGGAAAGTACCTAGTATAGATATGGATAAGAATTGTGGTCCATACGTGATGTTCATGATCTCCTGCCTGTAACTCAGATGATTATAAAATCTATACTATTAGATAGTTAAAAGTTAGTGACTTGGAGACTCAGCACCCAATTTTCTTTCCTGTAGGTATTTATGAGCCTCCATTTCCTATACTACTGCAGTGAACCAACCTTGGACGTGAAAATCGCCTTTTGTCAGGTGTGTGTTCCTCACAGGTAAAACAAGGTACAGTACACTCCCTTGTATTACACTCTTGCCGTTTCATTTTCATGTGAACCACACCAAAGCTGTCCTCACGTAACGCTATTTCATATGAACCACGCCAAGGCTGTCGTCGTGTAATGCTAAAAGTGCTGGGAAAGCACAGAGAATCCTTAGATTTCCCCCCTTTCTTGTTTATTAGAAATGAATAAATTTTGTGAATGGGTTCATCATTAATTAATCTGTAAAGTGATTTCCAGTCAGATTTCTGTCCAAATCCTTGGAATGTGGTGTTGATAATCCAAGCACCAGGAACATACATTGCTGCTCATTTCTCTAAGGGCTGAGGAGTCCCAAATGCAGCATCTCCAATGACTGCCTGTTGTCACCTAGGAGTGACACGCAGTTGTCTTTACAGTAGGTAGAAAACAAACCAACAACCCCAGCGATGTTGTCAGTGGCCCAAAAAGGGAGAGCACAAAGGTAGCCACAATGGTTGGTGTTCTTGTGAAGCCAGCAAGTCTGTGCGCTCTTGTATTCATACAAACGCTGCCACTAGGAAAACAGTATTTAGGGTCCCCGTACTCATGGGTGTTGTGTATAGAACTGTCCTAGCCCAAAGTACCGGTCTGGGTCTCATTGCCATCTTCCCTTTACTCTTAAGAATTGCCGGAGGTCTGGCGAGGAATTGTGTGCTAGCCGTATTCCTAAGCAAATCGGAAGTTGTCTCCAGGTGCTGCTTCTCTCCGAGCTGAGCTGTGAATGCAGTGGCTCATGACCACCAAAAGCAGGTTTAAGAGGGGACTCTGCCTCATCTAGTATTTTACACAGCCCTCTCCATTGCAAAGGGAACAGTGCTTTTGCTTTACTTAGTTTTTATGGTGCCCACTCTCCCGGAACGTGAGTAGGATTCCTCCGGCAGAGTAAAGGCTTTGAGCAGCATTCTAAGACTGTGTGACCTCACCTTACGCTCAACTGTCACGGGGCTTGAGGCTCAAGCCTGTGGATGGGAACTTTTCTCTAACAAGAGCTCTGGATGCAGAGAGCTTAGTTGGAAACACCGAGGTACCACTCAGCAGTCGCTTACTTGCCACTGTGGGTGAGTGCCTCAACATTTTTATGCTTCAGTTTCCTGATTTTTTTTCCTGATTTTTAAGAGGGTGAAATAAATAACAGCCACTTCTGAGAGTTGTTCCAGGAATTCGATGAGCTTGTACTTGCAAATGTTGAAAACACTGTTAGAACGTCACACAGCTGGGATTCCGAGCCCCTTACGACCAGATTCATGCACACAGTTGCTTGGATCGGCATCGCCAATTAGATGTCAGAAGAACATAACCAAACAATACCAATTTAAGTCCATACTTAGGTAGTGGGGTGGTTACACCTGTAACCCCCAGCACTAGGGAGGCTGATACCATGAGTTCAAGGTCAGCCTGGGCTACCTACGGAACTGTCCTCAGAGACAACAAAACACCTTATCTTTCTTACCTTATTCTCCTCCCCATTGAGTTTGTTCAGGAAGTTCTGATTCTGTCCAGTCAGAGCACAACTGTGCAGTCATCTTATGAGCCACGCCCCACATTCAATCTGTCAGCCCACTCTCTGCTAGACTTAATGTTACAGGTGTCTGCATGGTCACTTTCTCACCATCTCTCTGCTACCCCTGTGACCCAAGATACCTCATCACCTGTCTGAATTACTGTAAGAGCACCTGCCTTTGCCAAACCCTAAATTATTTATCCTCAAAACACCTGTGAGAGTGGCCCTCAAGTTAGGTTACTAGCAACAAAACAAGACATCCCCCAAATCTTTCAATGTCCTTGAATCTCATGGCACATAGCCCCGAACACTCATTCTAAAGCCTTTCTTACTTAGCTCCCTAGAACTGCTCCCCTGAGGATCTCTACTGCCTTTCCAGTTTCCCTGCCTTTCTTTCTCCTCCTTCACACCTACCTCATTTGGCTTACTACTTGTGTGGCTGGTGTGCTCGGCTGCTTCTCTCTTCCCGTCAGAAAATGCTTTTTCGCATTTAGTCAGAAACATTCTTCTGAGTCTTGCTGGAACCAGTCCACATGAGACATCTCACTGATATAACTGTGCGTGTCTCTTCTACCTCTGTTCTCTGTAATGCCAGTTTGGTAGCCCAAGATGTCTTGATGGGAGTTTAACCATAAGAATGAGCCGGTACAAGAGCGGCTCCTTCCTCCTTGTCCCCACTGGTCCCATGGCTTTTGAGCACACCTGGGGTTTTTGTGGGCTGCAGTACTCACATGTTCTCCTCCAAATACGTGTTCTGTGAAAGAACAATTCATTAGTCTACTCAGTTGAGCCCGTGATCCCTGGGTGGAAAATGAGCAAGCTCAAGCCTCCTGGTTGTCTTGCTTAGACTGTGGCCCACAGGAGACCAGCGAACATTGTCCCCAGTACATTCAGAAAGCTAGACAGCAGCAGGGGACTGCCTGTATACTCAAAGCATTCTCTTTACTCCTCGTGTAGAAATTAAATTTGGTATTACATCTCTTTCTTCTGTTCCTGTAGCTCTGCCTCTCCTTTACTTCTCTAGAAATATGAAGAAAACAGTGTCTTTTTTTTTTTCAGAGGTGGAGTTACAAGGTGGGTTTACCTTCAAGCTGTCCCTTGGGAGCGTCTTCCCCAGGGCGTCTCATAGGCTTTCCTATTCTGGAGCGTTTATTCAGGCCACCAGCCAGGTGTGGTTGCATCTTAATTTCTGCTCCTGTATACTACACAAAGATCCTAGATAACTGTGATCAGTAATCAAATGTCCTTGCCATCTCCACCTCTTGACTGCAGCCTGGACTTAACATCGCTCTGCATTTCAGTCTTTGAAATGTCTGTAGGGATCCATGGAGAACCAGAATTTCCAGATGCTGAATGGCAACAAAAATATATGCATTTATCATTGTTTTAACTAAAAATTTTATCAAATCATCTGAATAATATGAGATTTACTGACTGTCTAAGAATACCTTTCATTAACAAATGTGTTACTTATCATAAATAATAATTAATATTGGCTATCATATTACTTGTTGTCTAAGGCATTGCCAGCAGGAGACTTTTTTAATTCGGTGAGAAATTTTTCTTTGGGATGGAAGACATGAAACAATAATTCCTGTTTTCACAATACAAATGATAAGATATACCTGGGGAATATGAAGGGCTCAGTTTCCTGACCCCTCCTGAAAAACAGGGCAGCCTCCTTAATGCTGGTCTCAGGTGAACAGATGTACAGAGCCCTTACATTTCACTTGTGAGTGAACGAGGCCACACACGTGCTCCATTGGAGTTCTTTCCTGGAATTCTCATTTCTAGAGAAGTAAAGGAGAGGAGGAGCTGTAGGAATAGAAGAGATGGATGTAAAATTATCACATTCCATTTCTACAGTAGGAGGAAACAGGGCTTGAGTCTATGGGCAGTCCCCTGCTGGGGTCTTAATTTTCTGGACGTGCTGTGGCCAATGCACGCTGGTTTCCGCGGGCTGCAGTCTAAGCAAGAGAGCCTGGAGCCCCTAAGTAAGCTGGTGGTGCCTCACTCCTTGCTCCTTTGCTTTAAAATGAGAGGTACTGGAAATCAAATTAACACAAAATTAAAAACAAAAAAAATTATTGATGGCCATGAGGAAGCAAAAGCCTTTTGATGAAGGTTTAAAATATGCATGCTGCATGCAACAGAGCCAGAGATGTGGGGTCACACGAGGCAGTGGCAACACGATGCATTAGGAACTGGAACCGTCCCTCCAACCTGCTGGCATCTGCAGCACCTGTTTCCTCCTGGGGGTGATAGTCTCCCGTGTACAGATTGTAGCAGGAGCTGCTTGTTCTTTCCAGTGCCAATTGTTATGAGGAGGGATGCTCGTTTTTTTTCCCGACTGCCCAGTACCAAAATAATCACACAGAAACTATATTATTTGAATCATTGCTTGGCCCATGAGCTCTAACTTCTTATTGGTTAACTCTTACATATTAATTTAAACCATTTTTATTAATCTGTGTATTGCCATGTGGTTGTGGCTTACTGGGTAAAGTTCCAATCCTCATCAGTCTCTGGCGGGGCTACATGGCTTCTCTCTGACTCTGTCTTCCTTTCTCATAGCATTCAGTTTAGTTTTCCCCGCCTGCCTAAGTTTTGCCCTATCAATAGGCCAAGGCAGTTTCTTTATTCACCAGTGGTATTCACAGCATACAAAGGGAAATCCCACATCAACAGATGAGGCTGAAAGTGAGTCAAATAATACCAATCTAACTCCGAATAGAGTATTCTGAGTTTTTTCCTTATTCAAAGGGAAAACTCGTGGAACAGAAACGGGGTTCCAACATCAAGGTGTGGAGCATAGAAACAAGAGAGAGAGCTAGGCGTGACAGTGCCTTTTTGGTCCCTAAGTCACATCCCAATCTGTTCCTCTTAAAGGCCATTGGCTGAAGGAAGTTCCTCATCACCTCCCCCTTATTTCTAAATAAGAGAGTTCCAAACTCAGTACAAAACTATATATACTAAGAACAGATATCAAGTATAAAAATTAGAATTACAGTCAGCATAACTAATATTAAGCAAGGAACACATGGAGGGCTATCCTTGCCCCACGCAGGGATCCTGAGGTGAGGACAAGGTCAGGACATCTCAACTTTGATTCTCAAGCTCAGTTTATTTTAATCCAGCAAATGTTCAATACATAGTTTTGAGCTCTTAAAGATAGAAAGACAACCATGAAGTGTTTGCTGGGGAGAAATTTGCATGCTTGTCTGTGGAACCTAATTTCTCAGCATCTTATCTCTTGGAGGAGTGTGCTTCTAGCCTTGATCAGGTTTTTGCTGTTTTACTAATCACAATCATTATTAATCTAACACCTAGTAGTTACGAAGTCTCTAAAGGTACACTGATATTTAAATTGCTTATGATTAATAAAGGATTTCACGATTTGGAGAGAGCCTGAATCTCAAGAGTTAAAATTAGTCACTTGGGCCTGCAGGATGGCTCAGTCAGTAAAGCAGTCAGTCACAAGT